CTATTCACAGGAAATTTTTTTTTGCGTTTTTCTTCTACTGACCATTATTAGTATGGTAAAAATAATTTTCATAGATAAAAATTTTCACGAATTTTTTAAAACCATGAAATTAGCAAAATTAAATCCCCGTGAAATATACCCCCCATACGGTAATAACAACAATAATAAAACAACAATTAGTACATCACTTTGTAACAATGCAAAAGTATTTCTTCTTGTTTTGAGCCTCTTGTTTCTTTATCTCCACAAAAATTAAGAACTCTTAACTGAGGTGATGCCCTATAATAATCAAAGGTACTTATAGTGTTAGTAGAACACACTGACCAAACCTTTGTAACTCTATCTCCCATCCACTAACAACAGAGAGAGGACATATGACAATAAATGGAGGAGAAGGAGAGGAGGAAGCATCTCGTAGATAAAGTAGTAGAGCTATAGACTATAAAAACAATCATATTTCTATGTCAGTCGGTAATGATACTTTTATTTTTAAAAAGGCCTTTCCATCTGTAATTACAAGGCTATTTGTCAGGCAGTCTCTTTTTCTCTCATGTGTATAGACAATTATAAAAATGCTCAACTTACAAAAGGGTAACAAAAATTGACAAGAGATTTTTAAAAAACTCTAAGACACTGAGAAACATTGGGCTTTATTAATTTTAAAAAATTAAGCAAGCATAGAATTTGAACATGCATGGTCGATAAAGGTTGCCTGACAAATAGACTTACAAATGTGCTGTTTTATGTGCACAGCAACCAGACGGATAACCAATATTTTAAGCAATATTATTATCATCATTTCATTGATTGAAATTGCTACCTGAAGTGTTTTCCCTAGTCCCATTTCATCCCCTAAGATACAGCCATGCTGCCCCCTCTCATGGCACTCTGATAACCACTTTAGACCTTCCAGTTGGTGAGAGCGGAGAGCAACATTCTTCAGACCCAGTTCCTGACAGTATTCCTGTGATATAGAGTAGTGACGACCGGTACCTTTGGTTTTGGTAAGTGTATTAAGCTGTCTGAAAATGTAGTCCATTTTGATTAGATCTAATAGAACACCCGGTTATCCTATTGTTCCTGGATAGTTGTCCGGAGTTAGGTGTAACTGTTCCTGGAAACTATCCTTAGGGATAGACACTATGAATAATAAGTAGTTTAGCTTAATTAATGATTAATGAATAAGGGGGAGGGATGTCAAGGAGCTATGGAGGCTCACTCAGGAGCTCGCTCAGGAGGCTGAAAGCCTGAAACATCAAGAAAGCCGGCAGCTCAGTGGATCATGGTTTTTCAAATCACGAAGTGGATGGAGTACTGGTTAGTATCTAGTAGGCTTACATGTATATAAACATTATTCAGTAGTCAATTACTGAATATATATAATCCATTACTATTAGTCGAGCTATTAGTACTTATGGTTGCTGTACAAGTTGCAGCCAGTCATTAACTGTTCATTTGATATTGTTCCTTAGTCCTTGTCCATGCATATTATGTTTTTACAGTTGAAATAATAATAATAATAATAATAATAATTATTATTATTATTATTATTATTATTATTATTATTATTATTATTATTATTGCAGTAAAGTATTTTACTGTTACTATTACAATAAGCCATTGTTATTAATAAAAAATAATGTTGTAATTTAAGTGGTTTTAAGGTGTCTGTGCATTGGATTTTTTTGCCAGCATGAAGTTTTTTAGAAAGGCATCGGTCATTGGGCACAGGATGAAAAGCCTCTGAGTTGATTAGTTGTTTCCAGCTATACTTGTTGTTGTCACTTATAGAATATTGCTATAGACCCCTTTAGGCGAGAATTAGTTTGTGATACCGTATATACAAAGAAATAATATTGAACGGATTTTTGTCCGCCATGTTTTACGTCAAAGTTATGCAGAGTTTCAATGGCTGATGTGCAAAGTAGAGCTGTTTTGCCAATAAAACTTTTGTTGTGCTGAACTCAGGACTATGAGAGGCTTCATATCAACTGTTCTTTACTATAGCAAGATATTTTGAAGACTTAAGAAGTCTGGGAGAGCCAGAACGATCAGTTCTTGACTCTCTGTCACAGCCCAAAGAGGAAAGCAGGCTCATACAACAAGAGTATTGCACTATACTTCCTAGGTTGGCTCTCTTGGCATCTTTCTTGACTCTAGAATAGTTTTTAGCTTCAAAATGTAGTGACCAAGATCTCCAGGACACAGAAAGCACTTGCTGCTTGACGTAAAACATGGCGGCCAATTATTGTGTGTGGGTGTATACCGTAACTGAGATATAATGATATTCATTGCAAAATTAATGATATTCACAAGCTGCTACTTCCCGCCGAAAGGGGTCTATAAATGTAATACCAGTCTGTTTTGTATTATGAGAATTACATTATACAATTACTTCCTGATGTTCACAAAAACTCTTGCTTTTACTATTATGCTACTTTACTTAGTACCCTGTAATCATTACTATTGCCCCAGGGTATTGTGTCTGTGCACCATATGGTTTGTGTCTGTGTGCATAAGATTTACAAGCAGCCATCAATCATGCAGTCTAAGCTAACTTGCAATGTGGTATTATAATAATCTTTATAGCTGTTTATGCATCTTGTAATAGTATACTGAATAATACGCAATCTTGACATATACGTGTGTTGTTAATAAGTACTTAAGGGTGGAAATATTGAATGTTGTTTTACCAGCACAATATCTCATTTTGATATCACAATAATTACTAATAATTGTGTTCATCAAAGCTGTTACAATAACAATGATCCTTTGTAATGGTTCCTAGCCTAGAAAATCCAACACAGTACATGTAACTTAGTCTGGATTAGTAGTGGTACCTTTTACATCACACTTGTGCTAAGGGTTACGATATTTGATTACATGTACCACTCGCATACATAGTAAGAAAGGATTATATTCTGTTAGCTACAATATTATCATGATAGTTACTAAATACCTTAGAGTGACTTTTAATTGTGGGTACTAAATTTTGGGATTTTAGCCCAAGGTAGATTTTGCTGGTATTAAAAATTGCGATTAAGTAATTATTACTAATAGTTATATGGCATCATGATGTCATTATTAATAATTGCGCGTATTAATAATTGCGATTTTTAACCCAAACGCAAAATTCGCAATTAATAGTACCCGCATTTAAAAGTAACCTTAAGGTACTGATATATTGCCCATCCTTATTGGTACTGCATTTCTCTATTCTCATTGTTGTGTTCCTTGACCCCTATTCTTGTATATCTTAATTTGTCTCGTATTGACATTTCTTCCTCTCTTTTGCCTTCTCTCCTCCTAGTATATGTACATGTACATCTAACTTTTGCTCTTTCTCTTTTCTTCCTATATAGGATTCTCCTATTTCTTATGTTCTTTGTCTTCTTGTGTATAATACAGTTCCTTACTGA